TCACCATTTCTAAAAAATAGAATTCCAAGAAAAGAAAGAATGAGGCATGGTCTATTTTTAGAAAAGGTGAGACATCATTCCCAGACAAAAAGGGTAGGTGGTTAAATTTTATAATGTCTAAAAACATTATAAAAAGTAACTTTTTTTTTTTTTTTTTTTTTTTACAACTCAGAATTTTTTTACATAACTAACAGTTCCTTTTCTATCCACTTCAAGATTTTAGTTTTCTGCTTTTTAAACCTTTTAGTATGACTATAACTGCTTTTAGAAGGCTGAAACTTACTTCTTACGTTAATTTCAACTTCCCCAGCAGTATCATTTGGTAAAATATCATTATCATTATTTAAAACATTGCCATTCCTTTCTTCTTCGTCACTAGTTTCTGCAATTTCTAGGGGAACAACAACAATATCAGTTTCATTCTGGTCATTATTAACATTATCATTATTTGTTTCTTCACCAAAAAATTTTTGAAGGGCTTCTCCTAACGTAAGACACCTCATTCTAGGTATTTTTAAACAATCATAACATCGAAAGGAATGAGTGAAAAAGCAGATTGACTACTCGTTTCCTGCTGATGTTGCGTCAGCGCAACACCTGTTTTCCCTTCCTTTCCAACACAAATATAAACATCTTACTGATTTAATGTTCTGATAAAGGGTGACCTTGACTAAAAATAGATCACTCATAAAGACGGCGATTCTTTCGTTAAATATTTTCAGCAAAAATACCGGTCGAAAATTTTGCTTAAAGTATGAGATTAATTATTATAAACAAAATGATTGTTGAAGGAAAATATTGTTTTACAGAAATAACCTTCATAATATTCCCTACACAAAATCATCTGCTGGTATAAAATATCCTAGGTAGTTATATATATGCGCATTTATTTTGACCGTTGCGTCAACGCAACACCAACGGCTAATGGGTTAATGAAGTTTTCATTTCATATACTTCATGTTATAAGCACTGGGCAGTTATTTCATGCCAATTTCTGAGTCAGTCAACATTTAAAAAATTTGATTTTCAGTGAATTCACAATAAAGGCTAAGGAAAAAAAAAAATGTGAAAGTTTCCAGATTTACTATTGTGCACAAAGGGTCCTCCCCATTTTGTGTGTTACCTTTATGCATTAAATATCATGTTCTTTGCACTTAAATCATAAAACTCAATTAAACAGTAATATCAAAAATAATTTTAAATGAGCATATCTTTACAATTTCCAATACACAACCTCGCAAGGACAAAAAATTTCTTACGATGAACTCTGCGATTTCATAATTTTCAGTACTAACAGCCGTACTATAAACTAAAATCTCTACCTACACAGGGTGCACAGGGAAGTCCCATTAACCTGAAAATTCTTGTGAATAGAGAAAGATACAGCTATGCAAGTGATGTAACGGTATAATTAATCAACTACATCCAATCTAATGCACACAACAACAGCTCCCCTAGTGGCAAAATTTGGAAGATAGACACTGCAAATCGAAAATGAAAACAGATAGAGCTAAATTTCCAATTATTAAGGTTTATAGCATCAATCAATTAATTATTTATTACGAATTAGTTCGAAATGGCATTTGGTTCACACGGATAAGATAAAATACCCAAAGATACTGCTGGTGGCAAAGTGGCTAGCACGTTGCACAGCTGCACCACAGGTACATCATTCGATCCCCGGGCTGGCAAGGTTGACTCAGCTTTTCATCGCTTGAACGGGTCGAAAAAATGAGTACCAAGTTCACTTGAAGACTAAACACTGGGGATTCTGCAACAAGCTGAACTCTTACCCAGGACATATGCTGATGTAATCCGGGGCTCAAGGGCAAGAGAGCAGATTTCGGGGCACTGCAGCCATGGTCCAATAAAGCTGTTATGCCAATGAGCTTAGTTTCTTTTTTATACTCAAAGATGCTCACAATCAATGTACAACAATTCTATGCTGCATGTTCACATTTTGAAATTGTAGCAGTATGCAACTGCAGATTGCGGCGTTATTCTATACTGTAACGTGTGTAAAACTTTAATTTCCAATGCATTTAAAATTTATGCTTAAACGTGTTGATGCTCACTTCATACAAACAGCATAATCTCTAACCTCATTATAATCTCGACAGCACACAATAATTTTATTCCAAATTCACGAGCGCTTTTTAATTTAACACTTCTGAATGATCCTAAATGAACAAGATTTCTACAAAAAGTACATTTCTTAAATTAATGTATTAAAAATAATATTTTCTTGGAGTTAGAATTTTGGAGCTGTGCGAGAATGGGCAAGCTTCACCGACTGTGCGATGGTGCTTATTTACTCAAAATGCCAATGAAACATGACACATACTGCACGTGAGTATGCTGTTCGTTTTCCAGCCAGGCCACATCCACGTGCGGCTACCATTGAAAATGTAGTGTGATGGCTCAGGGAGACAGGATGCACTAGAAGACATCCACCTTCTGACAGACTAGTGAGTGCAGGTATGCGTGTAACGCCAGAGAGTATTCTGGCATATGCGCTAGCCTATCCACAGAGTAGTACAAGAGATATCAGCATGGCTTGTGGCTTAACACAGGACTGAGTATGGTAAATACTACATGGTCAACATGCACATCCCTATCATATCACTCTGCAGCAAGCACTGTTGCTACAGGATAATGAGTATTGAATAGATTGTTGCAACTTGGTGTTGATTAATGTTGAAGGGAACTCAGATTTTTGGTTGACTCATTGTTTGGTTGGATGATGCACTGTTTCAATGTACCAAATTACTAAACTGACACAATGCCCACTACTGGGTGTTTGAAAAATCCCTTGTGGGGATGACACCAAGTGCGCTGGTTCATTAACTCGTGGTGTGGTACCTGGAAGGATCACTTACTAGGACTTGTGTTTTTTAAAGTCACATTAAACAGACAGAGGTATGTCCCATTATTACAGGATATCATACCCAACTTTACAGATATTCCCCTGTCTGCATTACAATCCTTGTGCTTCCAGCATGATAGTGTCCCTGGACACCAGACAGCTGGAGTACAAAGATTTTTCAAACATTGTTTTGGACAACAAATTAACAGGTATGATGGTAGTGTCGAATGGTCTCCACAATCGTCAGACCTTATTCTATTAGATTTCTTCTTTTGGGTTACGTAAAAGATCAGTTTTATGGCTACATACAAGTCTGCTGGATCTACATCATCATTACTTATGCTTGTAATACTGTGACAAGTTCCATGCTGAGAAATGTGCATGCAGATTACTCTCATGAATACAAATGTGTATCGTGAGCAATGGGGAACTTTTCAAATATAATCTACATTAATTTTCTATCACTATATGACAGTTTGCCCTCCCCGGCCTTTTCTTTTTTTTTTTTTTTTTTTTTTTGGTGTGTGTGTATTTCTTAATACCTATGGCTATTGCTTTTAAACATTTACACAAAATGGAGTATATTGATTGCGGACACTTTTGGGTATACAGGCAACAATTTATCTTTATTCGTGCAAACCAAATGTCGCTTCATACTAATTAACTGATGCTCTAAAATTTTGCTCTATCTTTTTTTGTTCCGCCACTAGAGACGCTGCTATCATTTGCATTATGTCAGGCGTAGTCGCTATACTATACCATTACCTCAGCTACATAGCTGTAGCTCTCTCTGCTTGGAAGGATTTTCAGGTTAAAGGGAGTTTCCTATGCACCCTGAATAATTTTTTTTAAAGATGTTTGGATCATAGTATATATATATAAAATTAAAACAGTTCTTATTTTTCAGACTGATGGTCAGATTCTATTGATGATGTTACCTTTACACATATAAATATGCTTCTTTTTAAATCAGTAAATAAACTTTATTACAAAAATGAGGGTTATATTTTAATGCTGCTCTTTCTCTAGAAAATTAATATGTGCTGGATACTTAATTTATATACTATACTAAGCACATAGTAACAAAAACCTTTTGAAAGCTTTATATTAGATTTTAACAAGAAACTAACACCAGCATGTAGAAATAAATAACATAATATTGAATATATGTTAGTTTATTTCAGGAACAGGTATATCTCCAAAAATTCTGAAAATAAAATCTTTTTGATTATTTTTCTGAATACTGACAATTGACTTGTGTGTATGTGAATATATGCATACAGATAAATCTAATATATTTTAAAAATTAAACAGAAAACAGCCTTACTGTGAAAACTTTAATTTCATATCAGCCATGCTCAGTTGACCCTGAAAAGGATGACTAAAAAAGGAATAAACAATAAATAAGTGCAATGAAGTGAAAAATCCAAATTACAATCCCAGTACACATACAATACAAAGTAGTGTCAATTACAATGACAAAACAAGTACAAACAGTTATATATAAAAAAAAATAAATAAATAAATAAATAAATAAAATGATTGGAATGAAACTCTATGCCCTGCAATTTGACAATTATTATTGAAGACATTATGTAGAAGCAGGTTTCTACATATTATTTCTTCATTTTCAATAGTATATACAACTCTCTCTCCGCCCTCCCTTTTTTTTTGTGTGTATTGATTTAAATAAACCTAAAGGTCACAATGCATTTCCATTTATTTCCTGCTAAGTAGTTTACATTATAGAGTTCTACGATGTGTTTTGTGTTTAGCAACATGCCTCGGCAAAAGCTGATGACCATTATGCTTTTCATTTTTAAAAATTTGTAAATATTTGTTTATTACTTTACTTATTGTTGCTACAGATATATTGAAAGACTTTTCAATTGATTTTTGCATTACTGGATTATCTGTAGTTACCAATGATTTAATTTTACAAACATTAGAAACAGAGTGTTTTTTTTTTTTTTTTTTTTTTTAATATATATATATTCATTTGGAATCCTCTTATCATGTAGAAGTAATGATCAACAGTGTTTCCCTTTCCAATTAATAACGTTGCTTATGCACTTGGAAATATTAATGTCATGCATTGCACAATGTTTCTGAACCTTGGAATAGGAATATTTCTCTTCGGGAAGCACAAAAACATATACTTCAATCCACCACAGCTTCTTTACATGTGACATTTCGAAAGAAGACCGAATTTATAAGTAGCAGACGATATTTCTCATTTCAAATAAGAAGCTGTTGCCAGAAATTTTTATTTAAAAATATTTGCATTTAAAATTTTTTATTGAAATCATTCTAAAAGTGTGTAAACACTCTCTGTAAAACAGCAAGTTAAGAAGTAAAGCTTTTAAATCAAAATATTCTCTGACCGTTTTTAAGACTAAAATTTATGTTATATAATAATTTACAAGGATTCTTCTAAGGTTAAAATAATTATAATTTTTACAGGAAATAAATAGCTTATAGCTACAGTACTGCTTTCTCTTTTCTATAATTCAGTTTGCTACTGTAAATAAGAAATTCCTTTTTATAATAAAAATGTTAAAATTTTATATTGATGATGTTTAACTCAAAATTTTTTGCTAGATATATTAAATTAGAAAAAAATCCTTATAAATCTGGAAAATTAATAACAGAATTTTCTAAAAAATTAATGGAAATAAGATTATTAGCCATATCACAAAAACCTTACCAATGAAGACAATTATAATACATTATCTATATAAGTAGAAGGGGAAACTTTTAAAACAAAAACCAATAAAACTCAGCGGTAGTCTTTTATTATGACTGCTTCAGACTTAAACAAAGTACATGTGGAACTAAAAATAATAATACATTCTTACCCAGGATTAACTTCTAAAATACCCAAATGACTGGAACTACTCCACATCTTATAATTATGAGTTGATTTCCATGCATTAAGAAAATTAACATTAAATGATTCTCCTTCTCTTCCACCAGCTAAAAAGGGTATTATTAGAGTATTAATTTCACTAGCATTAATGCATTATTTACATTATATAAATTACAATATTTAACTTTAATTTCCAAGTCATTTCTTTGTCATGCAGCCATTTCTATATTCTTTTGTGACAATGAAAGCAGCTTTTTTTTTTTTTTTTTTTTTTTTTTTAAGAGGCTCAAAACTTATTTTCCTCATTAATCAAAATTTAGCTTTCATATTCTTTCAGCAATCAAAAAGGTAACTTCCTTTAAATTCACAGACTAATATATAGTTTTAACCTAGTGTATTTATAATTATTAAGTATTAAATAATTCGGTTCAATAAATATATATTAGGATTTAAGCCACATAAAATAACTGTTTACATGTGCAAACCAGCATGCAAGTCACAAAACTTCGGATACACTACGGCATTCTGAAGAATTTTATTTACCATCATAATCATCAAAATGTAAATATAAAATTCAGTATTAAATTTTCTACAATTCACAGAAAATTACAAATTTTATTATAGCAGGGGGTGTTTGTGAGACCCCAAAAAAATCCCCTGAAACTTTTACGGACATTATTTGTCGGTAGTACACTACTTACTACCGACATTTTGGAGTTTTGAGAAGGGGGGGGGAGAAATGAAAAATTACAATTATGAAGATGAATGCCCTAATTATAAAAGTTCAATGAATTACTTTTTTGCAAAATAATAACCATAATTTTCAAACATATAAACTACTACATTATATGTAATATTTTAAATTACCTGAATTAATTCTTTTAAAAAAAATTATCTAATTTCTGCTGCTTTTTTTTATTTTCTGATGTTTGTGGGCTTGTCTTTCTTTTGTGGTGAACTTCATAATTGCAGGAAGTTGACTTTTATTTTCCTCATTTACAGTTGAAGAAATTTCCCTCGAGACTGCACATGCAGAGGTAGAAGCAGTTTGCTTTCTGCCTAATGTAGAGTTTTCAGAGACTTTAAGGTGGACTCATCTGAAATACATGTTTTTAAGTCCTCTTGATATGTTTCCAACTTCTGTTTCATATTCAGTAAGAGATCTTTGTGAATTGGATCAGTCATTGGATTTTTTTAGCCATATTTTCACATGAGGTTTCTTTAAAAGCCATTAAATCAATTTAAAGTCTGCACTGCATCTAGGAATCAATCTTAAGAGAGGTTCTATAGTCAGTGACAAGTGTATCCATTAAGTTGAATGCACTTTCCACTAATGGCCATGGAAGCAGCTAAGGCGGGCTTGACCAATTAGCCAATGTAGGATACTTATATCATTTGTGAAATCATCTTTAATTAAAAACTTTAGACCAATATTTATCAATTGTACACTTGACTTGATTCCACTTTCATCAGATGTGTAGAACATTTCTTGTGATTCAATATCACTCTGGTATAACCTTATTTCAGCTTCTACTTTTGACTTTTTCATTATCACTAAAAATATGGGACATAAAGATGATAATTTTTTCAAAAGCTAATTGTACTGGTTTTACTTCTTAGCTCTGGATCTAATGCTGTAAAACTAATTAGATATGGATTTCTGTTTCATATGCTGTGCTGTATTAGTATAAGCTTTCATCAGAGAAATTTGGAATTCTTTTGCTATTGGATGATTTTTTGATAATTTCTTCAAGAGAGTGGAAGCTTCTACACCAGTAAATATTACTTTGCTAGGTAGATGGAATTCTGGATTTGTGACATCAACCTTTAATACTTCATTATAAGATGTGCACTCTATATTTTCTGGCTTCATAAAAAAAGAGAAAAAATTTTTGCCATCAATTTATAAATACTGGAATGTATTAAATGAAGCATTGGTTTTTTTTTTTGTTTCAAATAATTTAATATATGTGTTGAACTCTGGTAATACTGCTGAATATAATGCCATACGCAATAAAGTTTTGTTTAGTACAACAAATAACCCATTTAGTATTCTTTTTTTCCGAGCTAAAGCATCCTTTGCGAGTTGTTGGCAATGCAAGCAAGAATACACCCCTTCAACAATTTTTTTCTGAGCTGCAGAAATATTTCTTTTATTGTATACAGTTTCAACATAAGAAAAATAATCCCCTTTATCAGTTTTATCCAAGAAGTGAAAATAAATGCAATAAGAGCATCCCACAGATCTTGATTCTTCTAAAACACATAAAATGTACACCCCCTTGGTCGGGTCTCTTCAAGGGCTTAAGTTTTTTAGGCAAGGGATTCACAGATTTTGAAAAAATTTTCTCTTTTACTGCAGCTTTTCATATCAAAATAGATGTCATCAAACAAATCTTCTAAGTATCTATCAAAACATGAAGCAAATTTTTTTGCACAGTTATTAGCTGTGTGACATGTGTCACCATCATATCTAATAAGTGGGGTGCTTTGTTTGATCGTAGTCTGGTTTCAATACCCTTTTTTTTTTTCCACGCATGGTGTTAACACGAGTCCATTAATACACTAATTAAGTTTGCCATGGAAATTATATCTTCAATAGTATTAACAACTGCTTTAAAAACAGCTCTGAATTGCAAGATTCCATCTTTAGAGATGCAAAATGATGAACTACAACTTCATTTTGATTGTTGTCATAAAACTGCACCAATATTGCCAGTATACTTTCTTGAGCTTGCTAGTACTTTCATCCAAATTTAGAGAAAATGGAGTCTCCTTTAAATTTTAATGATATTTTCCTTATAGTTTTTGCAAGCTCGTATTTCATCTTGTAACATGCAGTAGTCCTGGACATTTCCAACGAGTTTAGTGCCGTCTGATCGCGGCTCAAAACTGTTTGCAGAGTTCAATTAAATTGGGAGCTACTTGAAAGAAGGAGAATTCTCGGCGATAAATGAAGTTATTAATACCTCTTGGCGTGCTTTTCTTGTCACTATATCCAATGGCCGAGCATCAGTCTCCAGTAAGTCATCAGTATTTTTTTAATTAGCATAATTACTTAAAGTCATTGAATGTCTAATGCACTTTGAATATTTTATGTGTGTCACAGTTTTAGAATGATTTGTGAAAGCCTTGAATCCTTCCCCACCATACTTCAGCAGCGAGTTACAAAAAACACAATATGCTTGTCCAGCAACATTTATTTTCTTGCACAATGTGCCGATGGTATCCCCATTACCATCTCTCCGTTCAATCCAATTCCACCTAAATGCATTCCGGACACCTTCTTCTAATTGTATAATATCACTATTTATATCGAGAAATTTCATAGTGAAATTCTCTTGCGTACATAAATAAAAAAATATTTCAATAAATGAAATGAAAAATTTACACGTGCATCAATAAATGAAACGAAAATTTTACACAGCGGAGAAAAAAAAGTTGAGAAGTGATCAATGACAAATAGCTAATACGGCGAAAAATCCCCCTTCTCTACTTATTGGCGCCACGCCAGTAGAGATAAGACCTTTGAACCCAGAGTCAGGTGATCGCACATCTGGTCGAACGAAATTTCTCCCTTTTTTTTCTGCAGCGCCTACTTGCCGAAAAGAATCCAGAAGAGAATATCCGAGAACCGGGGGAATGAGTCATAACTCGCAATAAGGAAAGAACAAAAAAGAAGTTTTTCCCCCTTTTCACGCATTATCACTGCCTTTGGAGAAAGAAAGGAAAAGTTTTCACCACACACACTGACCTTGCGTTTTCTGCTTTCAAAGCAAACAAAATTACCCAGATCAAAATAAATAATTCATTATTATTCCTACTTCCTTTTGAACGACGATCCCCGGAATTTCCGGGTATCGAAGTTCAAAATCCCCGTAATTCTGGGGTTTCCCCGGAGCACAAACACCCCTGTTATAGTTTAAAATTTTACTCTGCCACATAAATAAAAAATGAACATAAAAATAAAATACATAAAATGAATAGAATAAATATTAAAAATATTAAATTTTTCAGTGTCAAAAGAAAAAGCTTTCTAACGTTCAACTGTTCTGCATCTCAAGGATAATATATATCAAAACAATAACAGATTTTTAAAAGATCAGACTTAGCAATATAAAATGGCACATATACAAATTGTATTTCATTAATGAAAAATTCTTAGGCTAGTACAAGAAATATAATCATACAAAACTAAAAGGCAATTTACAAGTATTGGCTAATACAAAATTTAAAATTTTTCATTTAATACGTTAAAGAAACAATTAAGCTACCTTCAATTTCAGATGTCCTCATAACACTTAAAAGATATAATTTGAACTGTGACCTCAGCCATTCATCACCACCTTCCCAACCTTTAATGAAATTGGGGGAAAAACAAAAAGTTTAAGGAGATAATAGTAACAAATGCAGAGTGAATAAATTTTATGTTCTCTTAAATTACCATGATATACAGTACAAAGTCCAAAATCCAGACTCGTCGGGACTTCCTGATTCTGGATTTGGATTTTTTTCGGATATTAGATCATCAGTTTAAATCTAGTAAGATGGCATGTAGAAATTATAAAATTAAAAATACGAAATCATGATTTATGAAATAATGAAGTCTTTATGATTTAAAGGGTATCAAAATTGACAAAAAAAGCTTAATATTTATTTACCTTATTAAACATTTTTTTTAATGTAAGTTGTTTAAATTACTTCATTTTTTGTGCTAACACTTTCTCTTTAATTCTGTAGACAGACATAATCTCTTGTTCAGTTATATTTTTAAAGTCCTGTAACTGTAAAACAAGAAAATTTCGATTGACAAGTCCGTCGAGAATTCCGTCAGACTCGTCAATCAAAATTTTCTTGTTTTCAGTAACTTCTCTGTCACTTTCTTCACTATTGGTAGCGATATTTTCCGAATCTAGAACCACACTACAGATTTCACCATTCATTAATTGATTGATGATTGAGAAGCATTTTCATCACAATGAAAAACTTCTTTTATATCATCTTCATTTATTACCCCTTCTCCACATTTCTTTACAAAATTCGCTAATTGGAAAATTTCACCTTTGTTTTGAGATATCCGAAAACTTTAAAATTAGCGGCTATCATCATCAAATTCAGCTCTCCTTTACTATATATTTGGTTATGCAATATAAGCTCAGCGACTAACGACAAGTTGTTTCATTCAATTTTATCTTACTTCTATCGTGCACTGAGACAATTAAGCCTGAATTGTATTAGTTTAGTTATTTCTTATACTTATATCTATTTCTTGCACATGCTTATCAGAGTTCTGAATAAATAAATTCCCACATATACTTAAGGCCAGCATTACATATCTTACCGCCTGATGCAGTCTCTGTGGGTCCTAAATTCTGTGACTCCGTGCGGCCATACGAGCCCTGGCGCTGGTTTTGGGTTTATGCAAATAACAAATCAGTTATTCTTAATTCAAATAGCACTAAATGTAATCTTTTGGCCTATGAGTATCATCAAGAAAATCTATTTTTAGCATATGAAAAGAAATTTTTGGTAAATTTTTATTCATCGACATTTTTTAGTACATTTATCTTAAATCTGTAATCATTGACAAGCGTAATGTCAACATAAAAGTTTACCATACTCCTTTATTATTCAATTACTAACATAAAAAAATATTTAGGCATTGCCATATGAGTCATTATTCAAATTGTCATGTTTTAATAAACATGCGGTGATGAATGGAAAGTATAGTAAATAACGATTCGCCAGGTTGGCATCAGATCAACGATGTATCTATGTGGAATGTTTTGGTTTGAGATGTGTGCCAAGCAGATACGCAGCAATGGAGCCAAATTACTGATTGTACAAATTTATGCTAAAATGATTATTTCTTCAATAATACGGCATTTTATTTAGTGTCAAAGTGAAATTAAGAATCGGGGCTCTCCAGATGTTTTATTATGCGCGAGGGGAAAATCAAATGTGCATGCATGCAGCCTCACAGATAAACCTTAGTGGTAGTTTCGAGGTCCGAATTTTAGATCATTCCGGATAATGGACGTCCAGATTTCAGACATTGTACTTCATAAAAATAGCAAACATTTTCTTACCAAAATAATATTCTCTTTAATTTTAGCTACAATTATTCACACTGAATAAAGAGAAATCTTTTGCAGCTCCAAGAAAAAAAGCAAGATTCTTTTCAAAACATAATAAACAGTTAAAAAAAAAAGGGGGGGAACACATCCAAGAACTAAACAAAAATGGAAGTTCAGGAAAAATTCAGAGCAGTTTATTAATAAAAATATCGATTCAAATTAGTATATTAAATAAAGTAACATCTAAAAAAGGGAAGCAAACAAACAACCCCTGATACACATATCATGATTCGATGGTGTAGATGACTTGTTGATTCTCAGACTGGGCACAGACTGACACAGTCATGTAGATGAAAATGATGGACTGGGAAGCATATGTGACCGAATTTTAAATAATTTTATTAATAAATAAAGCAATTCTAGAGACAAATACTGGTTTCACACATGATTATGGGTGCTACTGGTACCTCACAATTATGTACACGAAATTACATTTTAGAATAATGGAAAAATGCAGCTAAGTGAAGAGACGTCTTTCCGAAAGTAAGCTTATGGGGCAAAACAGAGTGCATAGTTAGATTGCAGTGGTACTTATAGTGAATTTTTTGTTAATCTCTTTAGATAAGAATTATATGCAGGGAACAAGGTCATGATGACATGATGCAAAACTAGTTTTCCTAAATGGCGTAGTTTCTAAAAAATTATTATTTTTACAACAAAAAGGGGGAAACAGTCAAATTAAAAAGAGTAATTAAGGCACTATTGCTAATTTAAAGTAGAATTCAGAGTTGCATATTTTTTATCCTATATGTATATGTTTTTACATACGAGCATATTTATCCTCAAATTGAAGCCATCTCTGAACATTAAAAAAAGTTACTGCTTAATTCATACATTAAAAGCAAATTCACAGACCTGACATTTTTAAGGAAGGTAAACAGAAACATGGTATAAATATACAAACACAGACACACCACACACACACATATATATATATATATAATTTATATATATATATGATTAGGTTCTCTTTTTTTTTTTTTTTTTTTTTCAAAATTAGAAGAAAAAAAGATTATGCTATCATAAAAAATTGTAGAAACATTTAATTTGAAATTTAAGATAAAACAATGCATTACTATTAGATTTTAGAACTAAGAAATAAGCAAAATGAATTAATAAAATTATACTGAAAATAAAACAAAAAAGAAAAACTCTTTGACTACTAACAGGACATATATGTTTCACTAAAAGTTTAAAAATTACTGCTGGGTTAAAAAGTACTTTGAATCTCTTGAATGTTGGGATCATCATCCAATAGTTGGAAAATCAAAATGTCGCTGTGCTCATTGTACACAAATAAACATAGAACAAAGAACAATATGAGTTGCCCAACGTGTAATGTTGGGTTATGCAAAGAATGCTTTTTACGATGCACCATATGATGTAAATCTATTTCATACAATAAAGTCTTCCAGAATAACAGGTGTGCTTATAATAACAGTCAATCGCTACGTGTGGGACATATGTATCCCACTATTAACTACAGCATACCAGCCTTTGGCTTGAAAACCGTCACCCCCCCCAAAAAAAAAAAATCCCAATTGCTAAATTTACCTCATTTATGACTTGGATAGAAAATGGGTTACTTTTTTTAATTCATAGTCAACGGGTTAAATTATGAGGTAATAATTTAAAACCTGAAAAATTAGGAGTACTGAAAACACATTTCCTTCCTCTGAACTTTTCAGGCCAAAAATAAAACAGCAAATTAAACTCAAATTCCTACACAGAAATATTTACAAATAGTGCATACTCTCTATTCAAATTTTTTTTTTTTTCCCTCCTTTACTATCTCTTTTTCCATACTCGACCAAATTCAGAAATGTATGAATAACAGGTGTTCGGGATAAATTTGACATATCTATAATTCATTATGTTTTTTCGTAGGTTGGAGGTATTGACACACACTACTCGTCATTTAAAAGTTTGGACCCTTCTTCATTCATATACAAGATGTCAGAAAGGATGGATGACTGGAACCCACCTGAATCATGGAAGAGAATAACTTGCCATCATGATGATTCGTGCTGGCCATCAAAATAAGGATATTATGACTGCTGCCCAATGCTCCCGAACACAGTAAAAACAATCAGGCATGGATTAGAGATTTGCAATGGTGACTAGCAATGGTGAGGATGTAGCAAGAAGAAAGATCCCTAGCAGATGATCTGATTGCATTCGTACAGCAGAATTCCTTGCAAATCTGCAGGAACAGGTGTTGAAGAACCCTGGCATTGGAATTCGGGCTTTGTCACGTGAAATGAATGTTGCAGCCTCTACTATGAAGCTTGCACTCAATGAAGACCTTCGCTACTACTCACACAAGCAGATTTTCTTTTACCTTACGAAACTGTCAAATTTATCCCGAACACCCTGTATGTGTCCATATATACATCGCATTTCTGAATCTGGTCCCCAATAATGAAAAAGAAACATATTTTTAAACTTTTCTATACAAAATTAATTAAAGTTCAGAATAATACTTGAATTTTCCCCCCTCTCTCTCTATGTGTGTTTGTATATATATATATATATGTAAGATAAAAAATATGTGAATCTAAATTATAATTTAAACTATCGGTAAACTTTTTAATTCTTCCTTTCTGTTTCAAACATTGTAATAACTTCTTTGGACTGCATCATTTCTAGATCATTCCATTTTGCATGGCCTGCACAGTGCTGATGACATAATAACTGGGAACTGAAACTTTAACTCAAACCAAAACCTTTTACTTACTGTGCTTCCATCTTGCATAACTATGCACTTCAGCTTCGCTTTCTACTCTACTAGGATGTAACTTCGCTGTCTTGCTTGCTATTGCAATAATATAAAAAATGTAAATAAATGTTCTGAAAATGGCACAACTAGAGTGCCAAGTGATTGTGGCCACAAATGTCAACTGGACAATAAAAATGGAATTAAAACCGCCTCGACTGCCAAGTTCTTTAGATATTACCAAGTCAACATATTAGCATCTACGCAATCAGAATTCTTCAATATGGATCTAAGTATGCATCAACAGTGCTCCAGCTTTTCCTTGCTTTTATTATGTCATATATATATATATATACACACATCAGTCAGAAAGTTTCTTGCACTACGTAAATATGCTCCGTCTAAGACTATTTGGATAATACTGTGTGGCAACATTTCAGACATGCACTTTTATCACGTGACGTAGCAGCTTTCCCGAGCCAAGTTCAGTTTTTCTGATAATAAGTCGCAAACATGTCTCGACAGCTGCAAATAGTGTCCAAATTGGAAATGTGTGCAGTGATTCGTTTTTTTGTGGGCGAAAAGGTGCAACTTCACTGAAATTTATGAGCAGCTGCATGGAGTGTATGGTGAAAATGCAATGTGTGAAATGGTGCAACATATTTGAAAATGTACATACAGATATTGATGACGCTGACTGTCAGGGAAGACCATCAACTGCAACAAATTCAGAAATCGCTGCTCGCGTGAATGAATACATTCTTGCAAACAGACCCATAACGATAGACGAAATCTCAAATGAAGTGGACATTTCTCTTGGAAGTTTGCATATAATTATTGTCGATCACCTTAAATTTCGTAAAGTTTATGCTCGATGGGTGCCATGTCTATTGACGAAGGAACATAAAGGAAAGCATTTTGAAAGAGCATTTGCATTTCTGCAACATTACCAAACAGAAGGAAATGAGTTTTTGGACAGAGTTGTGACTGGAGATGAAACTTGGATTTATCACTTCTCACCTGAAACAAAATGAAGCTCGAGTGGAAACATTGCAATTTCCCGACATGAACAAAGAGTCGAACTGTTCCATCTGCAGGCTGATGATGACACTATTTTTCGACAGAGAAGGTGTGGTGCATACAAAGTTCATGAGGAAGTGTGCCACAATTAACGAATCTTCTTAATGTGAAACGCTAAAACGATTGTGACAATCACTTGAAAAATCGACAGCCGGGTAAACTGTCGAACGGCATTGTGCTCCTGCATAACAATGCAAGACCATATGCATCAAAACAAACGTGTGGCCTTCTGGAAAAGTTTAGGTAGGAATAGTGATGAGTCGGTACTACCGAACCGGGTATTTTGTAACGGGTACTTAGTTGTAACGGGTATTGAAAATCGGTACATCCAAGTACCCATTACTTCAGTACTGAAGTCGGTACTTTTCGGTATTTATTACTTCTGTACTGAAACGGGTACTTTTCGGTATTCGTTACTTCTGTACCGAAACGGGCACTTTTCGGTATTCGTTGCTTCTGTACCGAAACGGATACTTTTCGGTATTTGTTACTTCTGTACCGAAACCTACTTTTCGGTATTCGTTACTTAGTAACGAAAATATGCGTCTCTTCTCGGTATTCGTTACTGGAGGATCAATAAGGGTTGAGCTCACTTCGGTTTTGGTACGAGGACAGTAGTATCTGGTTGTATTTGCGAAATGGTGATATGCGCTCCTTGTGTCCATGAATGGTCTGCTCCTCAGACACTTCTGTAGTTGACATGTTTTCTGATATTCAAAATCTTACTCCGTACAGATAAAATCAAACACGTGGTGACGTGGCAGAGTTCCTTCAGTGTGCAAAATCGTTAGCTGCGTATTTCGGTACTGCAAATCATTACTAGGGCACTTCGGTACTCCAAATCGTTACTAGGGTACTCCGGTACAGAAAAAACCGTACAGCAACCGTACTAGGGTACTCCGGTACAGCAAACCGTTACTCCGGTATTTCGTAACTTTGGTACTCCAAATCGTTACTTGGGTACTCGGTACTTGAAATCGGTTTTCAGTACTTTTCAAAGTAACGGTTACTTGAGTAACGGGTATTTTGTACTGGGTACTTGTCTGTACCCGTTACTCTCATACCGGGTACAAGAATGTACTGAAGTTGCCCATCACTAGGTAGGAAGTATGGAATCACCCTCCTTACAGCCCAGACCTTTTACCTCCTGACTTCTATCTGTTTGGTCCCATGAAACAAGAACTTTCAAAGCGACAGTACCATTCGGATGCCGAAGTGAAAACTGCGACGGTTATCGGACATTGGACGGGATTTCTTTGCAGAAGGCATCAAAAAGCTTGTACCACGCCTCGACAAATGCTTAAATAACGGAGGTAATTACGTTGCAAAGTAGATTTTGAATGGGACTTTAAATTATAAATAAAGTTATTGTAAAATTTTGCTCCTGTTTTGTTTTCTTAGGACTTTTTGACTGACCCTCATAGATATATATATATATATAGTACCAAGTCCGTAATCCGGACTCGTCGGGACATTGGCGATTCCAGATTATAGATCATCAATTTAAAGCTGGTAAGATGGCATGCAGAAATTATACAATTAAAAATATGAAACCGTAATTTATGAAATAAAGAGCAATTATGATCTGAAGGGTATCAAAATTTACAAAAAAAAAAAAAAAAAAAAAAAAAAAAAAAAAAAAAAAAAAAAAAGCTTAATATTTATTTGTTTACTTTAGTAAACATTTCTATCAATGTAAGATGCTTCATTATTTGTGCTAATACTTTAATTCTATAAACAGACATAATTTCTTGTTCAGTTACAAAGTTCTACTGTTCAAGTCCTGTAATTGCTGTGTCGAGAATACCTACTAACTTAAGACACAATACCACGCCGAATAAATACTAATTCAGAAGTCAAACAACAAAAATATAACGCTGATTTTTGTTGTTTGACTTCTGAATTAGTACCTACTAACTTGTCAATCAAAATTTTTCCATTTTCAATAATGTTCTCTGTTACTTTCTTCAGTATCGGGAGTTGCGCATGGGTAAACGCTTTACTGGCTTTGAGCGCATGCATAGCGGAAGCGCACATCAAACGCGAATATGTAAACGCATTACACCTGTGCATAAGTTTGTGGCTTTGAGGTCCGGATTATAGATCATTCCGGATTAGAGACTTTATACTGCATATAAAGAGAGAATAAAGGAAAAAAATCTAAATACAGCATACACTATTTGTTAATAACAAAAAAGTACCCTCCCCCCCAAAAAAAACCTTAAATTATTGATAATATAATGACAATATTTTAAACATTTAGGCCAAATTCAACAATAGACTAATGTTGGATTTTGCAGAAAATTTTATGCATAACAAGAAATCTTAGTAATATTACATAATTAAGATTCTTAGTAATATTTTACAAAAGTATTTCATTATTGTGCTTTACTAACATCAATATAAGGGTGAAATTTGTTAAATGTCACAGGTTAGTGAGGTTTTTTTTTACCTACTAATATAAAAACTTACCAGTGCCATCTAAGAATACATCTTGCCTGTCCTCCATGACATGACGAACTAAGTGGTCAGCAAACCTCAGATCTTCAGTAGTTAGATTCAGCTGTTTTTTTAATTCAGGATCTAAAATCTCTATCTTACCATCTTCAACCTTCAGAAGAAACAAAAATAAATAATGATTCAAAAATACGCAAAATTAAAATTGACCAGTTTTAATTTGCATAACAACCTCTCATTTTAATGGGTAATACATGCATAAAAAAAGAAAACAGCACTTGTTCTTATAGATATAACCTCTATCAACTCCAAATTATCACCTCAGATATAGTGTTCAAATAGTTTACATTACATATATGGCTGACATCTAACTTTTCTTTACAGTATTTAGAAAATTGCATTACACATTCCCTTCAGATTTTCAGAAAGCTTATTTTCAGATGCTTGGATATAATACACACAGTATGTTTTATTATTTCTGGATTATGCACATAGTATGCACTGGCATCAATTACTTTCCAGAAATACAGCTTCTAATAAACCCCACATTCAACCTTGATTTATGTATTTTTTTCCAGTAATTCTTTTATTACTGGTGAATAATGAAAATGAGCTGATATGCAGAAAAAGAAAAACTCTGAAACTGAAACAGATATATGAAATAAAATGGCATAAGAGATGTTTCATTTACCAAATTTAAGTGAGATAAAGGGTTATATGAATCTCATTTAAAAAGGATTCATTACAAAAATTATTGAGTTTGTGAGAAGAAAATGAACTCTCTACCTAATATATCTGGTGAGAATATTATACACAACATAATCTAATATCATTACATTAAATATCCTATAATGTTATTAATTGATTTCATGTAATCTAGTGATCCCCAGCATGACACAAATCAAAAACAGTAACATAATGTCACGTGCATACGGGTTCATAATTAATTGAACGCACAAGTCCAATGAAAACTGAATAAAATTTATTCTTATCATTATAAATCTCCTAAGATATTTGTACAATATCGCAATTTCTCACAGTAGTTATATTTTAAACTACTAAAATGTTCAAAAGAACTTAATTCAAAACAGAGAAATGTAGAGAAAGCTAATCCGATCTTGCCACAAATTCGCTACAGTAAACAACAGTTTTCTAAACAACTGAATTAAAATGTTTTCCTCCAGCTTTAATAAGCTTTTTAAATGCATGAGAATATCCAGGTATTTTTTGGATTTTTCTGGATAGCAATAGAGTACAATTAAGAGATATATATTTATTAAATTCACGTGCTCCTGTATTTTAATTTTTTCGGCGTAGCTTTCTCTTCAATTAAGTCTCATGCTGCATTGCACTGGAATATAAAACAATTTTAATAACAATTCTGTTAAAAATAGCAAACTAAATAAATACAACATCCGTAAAAATAACACAAAAAGTGCAGCAACATCAATTGACTGCTGCCAACGTATAACAAGGTAATTTATTCCATATAGTCAAAATTAGGACCAACTGAAGTTATGAATTCTTCATTGCCTGATAGATTGATTTGTTGCTGGCAAAGCATTTCTTGGACAAAAAACAGCTCAAGTGCTGGAAAAATGGTAATCTATTGAAGAAATAGATTGAAGAAATACCAGAATATACGGGATAAGGCACAATTTTGTACCCTTAATTTGCTTGGCACTGCTGTATTTGGTCAGACATTATCTTGATGCATGTCTATTCACAATGGCTGACTCTTAAGGAAAATTTCCCGAGAATTAGTTGGATAACTTGAGTCATGTACCAAAAACTAACATTATGTGACAAATTAAAAGTCACAAATTTTATCTGATAGAGTGATATTAAGTAAAGCTATACAGTATAAAGTTTGTAATCCCGATCTCAATTTCTGCATGCCATCTTACCAGATTTAAATTGATAGATCTATAATCCGGAAAAACCCTTACTCCGGAATCGCTGAAGTCCCGACGAGTCCGGATTACGGACTTTATACTGTATATGGACAAGGTTTGCTTTAAAATCTTAATTTTTTATTTAACTATATTGAAGGAATACTTATGTTTTATTTCGTTTATTTTTTATTTTAATAAAAGCGTTTAAAAGTTACTTAATATATAATATATGTAAAATTTTATTTTTTCATTTCTGTTGAAGGAATAGCTATATTTTATGTTAATAAATATCTTTCAATGACGCATAATTAATATATAATAAAACTCTAAATCTGTATTCTTGTTCTCCATGCAAGCAGGGAAGGACTTCCATAAACCTAACAAAAAATAGTACCCTGAAGGGGCACTGTATGGCACAGAAATTGGCTGAGAAAAGGCAAAAAGTAAAGTTTTTGTAATGCATTTAAGATTTAAAGTCTTGAAAAACTTATGGCATGCTTTTCTCGAAACAATGTTTCTCATGTTGACATACATTGTATCTCATTTAATTGTGATCGGTTTCACTTCAAGGTTCTAATGCGTATTCTCAGATGCATTATTTTTGGAAGCAGTAACTACCCACACTTTTTTAAATAATTCTCAGTACTCACAATTTTGTAAATAGTAGCAGTAAGCACTCACATTTTTTTTTAAATATTTTCTCAGCAATCCATGTTTAAAAAATGGAATTTTCACACTAAACATTCTTTGCCTTTTAAATATTGACTACTTGATCAATACTACAATGATATATTTAAATTCTTCGGTAATCCCAAAATTTTTTAAACGTATCTTATTTTTTTTTATTCCAAATTTATGTCTCAAGATAAAAATTAGGACCATGAAGATGTACGTCAATTGGTTCTGCGGAAAATGAGGGCCCCACTTCAAGGACGCCATTTTCTGAATATTTTTTTTATTTTCAAAAAGAAAAATATTGTTTCTAACAAGTTCAATAAAATAAATTTCCGCTTGTTTTGAAAACACCCATTCAGCAAGCTCAAAAGATGAATCTACCTTTCAAACATTCCAAGTGGCCTAAATTCTTAAATCCATTTTCATATAAATTGTGTTTGATCATACGTTAACACAGCATACAACACTAACACAGATATAATAAACAAATGAGCTCAAGCAAAATAATTCCAATATTTGGTAGGAGTGAAATTACAGAAATTGAAATTTTCAGGCTTTACTTTTTGTAAATTGATTTATAAGTAAATCTATATCCAATTTTTATAAAATATCACTTTCCATGGAAATAATTGCAAGATTTGCCAATCTTTCTAGACAATAATTGCAAGATTTGCCAATTTCTTGGTAGATCTCAGGTAATTATCAATTTTGAAAATGACCACTCCGCTTTTTAATATTTACTGAGACTGGAATTGTTAATGAAATACAATAAAAATGCTAGGAAATGAGCGAGTTAAATTGTTGACAATTATATAGTTTAAAGTTTCAACCGATGATGCTACATTTTTTCCAAAAGTTTTCAAAATCTGTGGTTCATGCATGAGATCTACACTATTTATAGCACTCTGATTTTTATTTATTAATGCTTTTTGCGGTTTTTGACATAAATTGAGCTGATCTTGTTCAGACTATTTATTGAAATCAGAAGTATTCAACAAAAATTTTAAAACTTCCGAATGAGAAGAAAAGAGATCAAACATGTCACTTAAAGATGACATTAAAACATCTAAAATCTAATTTTAAAATAAAATTAACTTTAAAGTTTACTTCGTTCTGTATAAGCTTGTCTTCGCCTTCATAAAAGAATTTTTTCAGAGGTCTTAATGCTTCTTGGCTTTTAAAATTTGTATTAACATTTAAAGAAGATGCCAGTTCTTTACTTTCGGTGAGCATATCATTGAAACATTTAATGGATCTATAAACTTGATTATAGATATGTTAAAATCTGATTATAGATCTGACCCTTTTTGAACCTCACATATACTGATATCTGATCTTGATGGCTGGCATCAGGAGTACAATCAAGTGTAATTATTTACAGGTGTAATCAGAAGTCTGAGAAATATTAAAATTTTTAGTTTGGAGAATATTGCTAACAACATTAATTGTGTTCTGTATTTTATACCATAAAACTACCATACATGCAAAATTAAATTTTTGAACTTTTTACCCTAAGCACGTGGCCTGATTTTTTGTCGTATTATAAAATTTATTTTCGGTTGTTTCATAGAGGGCATCAAAAGCCTCTCCTAACTGAAATTTTAACAGGGTTATTTCATCTATAAGGATCGACCACCTCGTATCTGACAAAGATTCAGTGTTAAATTTTAAACATGCCTTTTTAAAACGGACGGAAGATTTGGATGAAAGCTGAAAAAAAGAAAAAAAGAAAAAAAAAAATGTAAAGCATTTGAATAATCGAAAAAAATTGTGCACCAAATAAATTGTTGTTTGCAACATCGTTTATGACAAGGTTCAAACTGTGATTACAATAAGGCAAAAAATGTTCTAGGTTGATATCCATAATTCTTTTGTGGACACTGCTATGTTTACCTCTCATGTTTGAACCACTGTTCCTTAGCTGCGTAAATTACTAATATCTAAACCAGTTTTCTCTAAAGTTCTTAACAAGAATGCTGTTAGTCCTTCATCAGTCATATCTGTTGCAGGACAAAATACTAAAAACCTTTCTTCAATACTCACTTCTGTATTTTCTAAATTAAAATACCTCGTACAAACTGATATCTGCTTTTGATCGCTGGCATCAGGTGTACAATCAAGTAAAATAGAAAAATACTTTGCTGGTTTGATCTTATTTAAAATAATTTGTTTCATATTATCCCCTAACAAGCTAATTGTTTCATTTTTTATTTTATCTCAGAGGTAATGAGGCATATTTTTTTTATTTTTATTAATATGTACAGACATGATATGGTCAAATTTTGCGATAATTTCTATACACATTAAAAAATTAATTTCTTTGGAATAATTTGTTACTGGAACCACAAAAGGCTAAGTTTTGTTCAGCTAAAAACTGAATAGCATAGATAATTCTTTCAAAAACATCCTGCCAATTCTTAGTTTCTTTCTTTCTGTCTTTTAATAAATTTTGAAGTTCTAAATCAACAGTTTTATCCTTCTGTAATCGGTCTAAGAAACTGAACCAAAGATATGTAGGGTCCGGAAAGGCATTTTACTTTTTTTCGTAAAGTTTTAAGTGTTCACTGAAGTGGTTCCAGTTATT